TAGTGGCAAAAAAAAAATCAACTCGCATCTCACCAAAGCCAGTCCACCACCTACAAAGATGAGTGAGGCTCCAACAACACTGAAGAATCTAGACAAATCCCAGAGATGTCAGCTCTCCTCCTACAATGAGAGAAAGCAGAAAGTCATGAGCATGAGAAGTCGAATATGTGGAGTGGAAAATGCAGTAACACTTGTAAAGGATGACTGTGTGGGATGGAAATGGGAGAAGAAATAGGATGAAGCAGAGTTCAGCTGCTCAGATGGTGATGTGAGGAGGTACCTGGAGGAAAAGGTAAATGTGTGACTACATGGAATAGTCAGAGCTGTGCTGTGTAGAAGTCAGAGTGTTAAAGTTGTAAGGCCCCAACTTTCCTGACCTAATGAGATCCTTACACCTTTTTCAATTCTGTAGCTGGATCCTTAGCACTGCATCCTCAGTTATACCTGTTTCATTTGTGTGGTTGGGCTCTTCCACTCATCCTGAGGAAACAACATGTGCCTTTGCCACCTCCAGCATGAGCTCCAGAGAAGTCAGAGAAAACCTTCCCACTTCTTTCATCCATTTCTTCCCTGGCACAAGCCCTCACAATAAAGTTTGCCTAAACTGATTCTGACTCCTGCCAAGGTCCCATTAATTTGACAGATGCAGGATAGTGTGATAGTAAAATAAATACATTCCTCACCCATTGTTAGCACCCATCCCCTATCCCTATTATCAACAAGCTGTCGGCTTAGATCAAATTTCATCCAGTGTTGCCAAATGCAGGTAGCTAATTTAGATCAGAAAAGTGCAGGCTGCAGGACCGTATTCAATGCATTTCTCTCAATAAGAAATATACTCCAAATAATGCATGTAACTTTTTTCCTTTTTTAACCAATTCATTCACGATACCTACTACCTTGGGCATGCATTGCAGGCTATTTTTTTGTTCAACTTTATTGACAGTTTTCTGGAATTCTGGTTATACCATAATTGGAGCCATCTAAAGTCTGTTAAGAAAAGATATTCCTACAAAAAATGAAAAATTAAAAAATTAACAATCTTGGCCAGTCAACATAAATCCCCTCTCGAAACCCTATTCACTAACAGTTCTTAAGTTTGGTACATGTGTGTACTCCTTAAGTTTGTGGGATATAGATGGAGGAAAAGGTCCTTTGAGCCTGTTCTACAATCAATCATATGAACCTAAATGATACAATATTTACAGTGGATACCGCAACCAGGGAAAGCGTGGGATATGTCAGAGACCAAAGGGGCAACATGTGCATGGAGCCAGGGATGTGGGTGAAGTCTTACAAGAATACTTCTCATCTGTATTCACAGAGGAGAAAGACATCATTGCTGCGGATATCAGTTGGGATGGTGAGGTTCTAGAATACTTTAAGATTAAAAAGGAGGTATTAGGTGTTATAGTGAGCATAAAGGTGAATAAATCCCCAGGGCCTGATGAGATGTATCCCAGGCTGCAATGCGAGGCAAGGGAGGAGATTGCTGGGGCTCTGGTGGAGATATTTAATTTGCTGGCAACAGGCTGGATTAACAATTTGGATGTGAATGTAGATGACTTAATTAGTACATTTGCAGATCCATGAAAATTGGGAATGTTGTTGATAGTGAGAAGGATAGTCTCAGGCTACAGCCTGATATCAATCAGCTGGTAAACTGGGCAAAGCAGGTGAAATTTAATCCTGATAAGTGTGAGGTGATGCATTTTGGGAGATCTAATAAGGGAAGAGTGTAAACAATGAATGGTAGGTCCCTAGGGAGTACTGAGGAACAAAGGGACTTTGGTGTATAAAGTTCATGGGATTCTTGAAGGTATCAGCACAGGTATATAGTGTTGTAAATAAGGTATGCAGAATGTTTGCCTTCATTAGCTGGCGCAAAGAATATAGAAGCAAGAATGTCTTGTTACAACTTTATTAAAGATTGGTTCGGCCATGGGTGGAATGTCGTGTGTGGTTCTGGCTGTCATACTATTGGAAGAATGTGATTGTGTTGGAGATAGTGTAGAGGAAACTTACCAGGGATGGTGCGTGAGAAAGAAAGTCTTGGTTATGAGGAAAAACTGGATAGGCTGGGTTTGTTTTCCCTGGAGCAGAGGTGGCTAAGGTGGGATTTTATTAAAGTATACAAAATTATGAGTGGTATAGAGAAAGTAGATTGTGAGAATCTTTTCCCTGTGGCAGATATACCTAAGACCAGAGACTGTAAGTTTAAGGTCAGCAGATCCGAGAACCTTTTTTCACCCACAGTGTGGTTTTTGTATAGAATGCACTGCCTGACTGGGTGGTGGAGGTGGGTAGTCTCACAACATTTGAGAAGCACCTGGATGAGTATTTAAATTATCAGGGTATAATAGGCTATGGACCAAGTGCAGGTAAATGGGATTATTGTAATCTGATGTTTGTTGGTTGGCTGAAGGGCCTGTATCTATGCTGTATGACTCTGGCCAAATGGCCTTTTTCTGTGCTGTGGATCTGTAAGTAAAGGGTATCCTAAAGAAGACTGATCAGTCATAAATGCTCCTGCACAAGGACACTTCAATCCCAGTACTGGTGACCAGTGACTGACATATATCTGTCACTTGTGTGCAGCTTCTGGACTTGTGAACTCTCATGTTCAGAGCTCTGCCCCTGTTGCCTATTTTTTTTCTAATACAGTCATGGGATGAGGGTGTCACTGGCTAGGCCACCATTTATTCCCCATCTCCAATTGCCCTCTGGATAGTTATGAGTCAACCATAGTGCTGTGGGTCTGGAGTTACATGTAGGCAAGCCCAGGTCAGGATGGCAGTTTCCTTCCCTAAATGGAATTAGGAAACCAGATGGGTTTTTCTGACAACTGGCAATGGATTGGTGGTCAGAATTAAATTCTTAATTCCAGCTATTTCTGTGTTTGCATTTCACCAGCTGCTGTGGCAGGATTTGAACTCCAGTCCCCAGAACATTACCTGGGTCTCTGGATTAACAGTCCAGTGAAAATACCATTTGGCCATTGCCTCATGATTATTAGATTTGGTGGATGGGCTCCGGTAGGAGCCTCAGTGTGGTGACCTTGGGGATATTTCCCAGTCCACATCACTATAATGGGTCGGTGGTTAGATTTTGGTGACATGTAGAACCATGATGGACATGGCCACATTGCCACCGTATCCTTCTTTTGATGTTGTAGCCACTGAGAGGCACAGTCTTCCTCCTGCCCTTGAAGATTTTGGACCACACTTAGTCTGGCACCTCCCCATCATGTGAACCCTGTTACTTGCTGCCACAAGTGGCTCCATCAGGAGCAAGGAGCCATCACTTAAAAGACAAGCCTCCGATTGTGTCAAGGTGGGCATCTACAGGGAATCATTCCTTGATTCTTTGCCTTATTTTCAAATTCTCTCCCTTGGTTCAAATTAAACCAGGTTTTGGCACAATGTGCGGCTTTTTAGTGGTTAACAATATACCTTCATTCTAAATCCTATAATGTCCTTTACTACCAACAAACCCTTTGCCTGTCCACCTTCTTTTCTCTCTGGGCTCCCTCACCACCTGACATCAGCACAAATACCTCCTTTTCTTCAGTGCTATCAATTCCAAAGAAGGACTTGAAACATTAACTCTACCTTCTCTCCATAGACATTGCCAGATCTGCTGAGTTTTTCCAGCAATTTGTTTTTGTTCATTTCAGATCTCCAGCATTTGCAGTTCCTTGTTTTATATTACTATAAGATCCTTACCCACTTAACAAAAATTTAGCAGAAATAAATCAATGCATCTTAGTTTTGCAATTTTCAATTGTTGATTGACCTACCTGAACAATTTTTTTTTTTAGGGAGACCGAGAGAGCTATATATTTTTAATCAAGTCTGGCAGTATTTATGGAGACGGAAGTTAACATTTCTTCGAAACGGACTTGTTGAGTCTCTCCAACGCTTAGTTCTTTTTAAATTTCAGATATCCAGCAGCTGCAGTATTTTATTTTTAACCTGTTCGGACATGTTATTTACAACTCCTGGAGCAGGTGAGACTTGAAACCAGAGATAGTAGGAACTGCAGATGCTGGAGAATCCGAGACAACAAGGTGCAGGGCTGGATGAACACAGCAGGCCAAGCAGCATCATAGGAGCAGGGAGGCTGACGTTTCGGGCCTAGACCCTTCATCAGAAAAGGGGGAGGGGAAGGGGGTTTTGAAATAAATAGGGAGAGAGTGGGAGGCGGATAGAAGAGGGATAGAGGAGA